GTCATGAGACAAAGTGTATGTGAACTGCTGTATGGAAAGTGAATTTGCTCTGTAAATCTTCACCCAAATCACAATTAAAAATAATAAGTTTTTCATCCTTGACTGTAATGTTTGCTGCTAGCTTTTTAGTAGTTTTAATCATTAGCTTGAAAGAAAACTGTAAGGTGTAACTTACAATTACACAAAGTGATGCATCATATAGGTATATTATTTACTTAATCATTTTCCTATTCTTCAAGATTTCATTTTTTTCCAGTATTTTTATATTATAAAAAATATTATAATGAACATTCTTATACGTAAAGGGCTTAGATTATTCCTTTAGAAGTCAAAATCCTGGTTTAAAGTACATAAACATGTTAAAGCTTTTTTTTATATATTTTGCTAAATTCTTCCAAAAGAATTTCCTTTCTCCTCTTTTAAGTGTCCTTTGCTATTGGTATAATGGTGCATTATAGTAAAGAAAACTTAGGAGAAAAAAATTACATATTCAAAAGCTGAAAAGAAGAGCTTAAACGCAAAGACGAACATAAAGGGCAAAAGCCTTTATAAAGTTGAAGAATAACTTAAATCAAAAAAATGTGGAAGTATCCAAAAAGAAATAATGTGACTCAAGATACGATTTTCAGGTTATATTTGGATCAAGAAGATGAAGGAAGGAAATATCAGTTCACGGATGTCAAAGAGAATACAGAATTCCTAAACTTGTTTTCCCTTTTTCTTCTCTGCCAAATATCCTTGTTTCTGAACTAACACTGATCTCTAAATCAGAAAGGAAAGAATAAATGGTAGAAAAGGAATTAAAGCTTACAGTACCTAAAGAGATTAGAGAAGCACCTAGCTATACTAAATGAGCTGTTTTCTGCTTTGAATATATTATATCCCAGTTATAAAGAAAACTTACAAATAAAATAGTAAGTTGACTACTGATCAATGTCAAACTAGAAAGCAGTTTCTAATGTAATGCCCTTGAACACCTTCTGACTTTCACCTTATGCTAGGTAACAGTATCATCACTGACTTACATTAAACTATAAGAAGACATGGTTACCAATTATGCATGTAATATGAAGTAGAAATGACAGCAAATTTAACAAAGATTAATGTCAAGCATAAGGTAGGAGAGCAACAGCTTGCATTGAGTATAACACAGAATATTCATGTACCTTAAGCTCAATGAGTTAACTGTAGACTATACTAACAAAAGTACAAGACTTAGAATGAGGGCATGAAGCCTCCCATACTATTCTGAATTGGTTCTGAATTAGTTGAGACCATACCTAGAATACAAAGGACCTCTGGTGGTGTAGTGCCTAAGGCATCTGACTGCTTACCAAAAGGTTGGTGGTTCAAATTCACCAGCCACTCCACAGAAAGAAGACTGGGCAATATATTTTTGTAAAGATTCACTGCCTCAGAAACCCAAAGAGGGTCGCTATGAGTCAGCATCGACTCAATGGCATTGAGTTTGGTTTTTTATTTTATACCTAGAATACAGGAGAATACAATAAACTGTAACACGAATAAAGAAGAAATGGAATATAATTCACAAAAGAGCAATGAAGATAAAGGAAACTCAAAATTATGTCATTAAAAAAAAAACTAAGGATATTGCTGATAAAATTTAGGGGAAATAATAGCTACCATAAAGAATTTCAAAGTCCATTATGTGTAATAGAAATTAGAACTGTTCTGCATAGCTCCACAAAGAACTAACATCAATAAATGGAGATGACAGGGCAAAATATTTTGAAGAAATTTTAAAACAACTGCCCTAATTTAATTTGCAAAATATACATTCCGGTAATTTAACAGATAGAGAAGGGGATACAATTTTTAAAAAACAGACAACAAAAAAACATCTTCCTAGTACTCACACAGCCCAGAAGTAGGATGGCATGATTCAAAGGGAAGTTAATTTCCCTCTCACTAAAGGTACTCAGTTGGGCTATCAGACCAAGTGATGGGAACATTATAGAGAAGATTCAAGTATCAAAGAGGTATGTGGACTGAATTGCCTCTCTGATTCTTTCTAATCCTTGGATACTTTGTTTACAACTTGGTTTCTAGCTAATCAAAATAAAAATGTATTTCTTCCTAAGTGAAAGATTTAGAAACTAGAAAAACTATCTTGGATTTCTGCATTTTATGCAAGTCTTGAAATTTTTTCTTCTTTGCTTGTGTCAAAACCAGAAAAAATTATTTATATTTACATATAAATCTATATACAATAAGTGATACATGACTACCAGGAATACAAATAGACAATAGCAGCATTTCTTTTTTATTTTTTCCACAGCAAGAATGCTTAGTTTAACTATTCAACCAGACAACTGAGAAAAACAAAAAGAAGGTAACTCAGGTAGACTAAAATAAACAACAGCATTAAAATAAAGCATTAGAAGAAACTTTACTTTTAATAGTATGACAACCAAAAACAAAATGATTCAAGCAATATAGAAAGTGGCAATCTCAAGTGTGAATATATAAATATCTAACTAGTAGGTTGAGGTGAAATAGAATTTATTTCCTGTGTTAAGCCTAGTTTGTTTATAACAAGTTAATGGTTTTTTCCCAATGAATATGTAAAACCCCACTTTGTTTATTCCTGATTCTCCAATAATTAAAGCAAGAATCTCAAAATGTGATGTTACTAGAAGTCCAGTGAGAAAAGTGCTTTCTACAATTCAACTAAATATCACAGGTAAAGAATCCAGAGAACCACTGATAACTTATCTGTCAATATGGAACAGAGAATAAGTGCAAATTACAGCGAGAAATGAGATGGTAACGCTTTTGCTCCCATGGCATAATTTACTCACCCCTAATCTCCCTTGAGCTCTAGTAGCATAGTGGCTAAGGCACTTGACCGCTAACCAGAAGGCTTGCGGTTCAAACCCACCAGCCACTCCTTGGAAGGAAGATGGGGCAATCTACTTCCGTAGTGATACTGCCTCAGAAACCCAAGGGGGGGATCACTATGAGTCGGGTCCGACTTGATGGCACATAACAACAACAATCTCCCTTCACTCAAATCATGGGTATTTTTATCTTCCTTACAATAATATTTGCTTTTAAAAATAATATTTAGTTTTCCAAAACATAAACACACTACATTGGGGTACATACCTAGAAGCTGTTTCTGGAGCACTTCCAGTACCAGTTTGATCTTTGCAAAAACTTCAGATGGTGAGGGATGTTCCAAGTCAGTCATCACAGATTCAAAACGCAAGATAACAACGTTCGGCTGGCTTTCTATCACAGCATAAAGGGATGGACAAGATACCAGAGGCCTAAGGATATATTTCAGCAGCATCTTACCTGAAAATTCATATGAATATTCAGTAAAAATCACAAGAAGTAACTTCTAGAAAATAAGCATGTTAAAAAAAGAAAAAACAAAAAACTGGACTTAGGGCCTAATACCAAGAATACATAATCCATGGCATTACCAACAACCATTAAGCACTGCAGGTTTTCCCAATGAAGCTTCTCAGATTGTCTATAGATTTTTATTTAAATTATTTTTTAAAAAATACAATAAATAGTAGCAACTAGTTAAAAAAACAAAGAAAAGAAAGAAAGAAAAAGAGAAGGATCCAAGCCCTAAAAAGGCTTTGACAATTTCATTTGATGAATCATGAGACCAAATCCTATGACCCATTGTTGATACTCTCCAGAGAATATTTTATAATCTCTTTTGTCATTCCTTTAACATTGGGCCTTCTGAGACTACATATATATAAAACAAAGTAGTATGCCTTACCAAATGATTTAAGCTTGGTGTGTAACTCCCCAAGAATAGAAAATGCCAAGAGAACAGAACTGATGGATGGTACAGGGGTATTCTCCTCCTTCTGGGACTGTTCAGTGCATAAATGAAGTTCCGTTTGTAGGCAAGATTCCAAGCTGCTGGTATCTAAGCAAAAGGCATCAGGGGGTATCAGCTATTTTAGCAGTACAAGATGTGCCCACTTCTATTTGTAAGAGCCCATTGTCTACTGAAATTCCTAAATACTAAGATTTTATTACAGTATATTTCTAATGCAACCACATATTAATTATGACATACATGTCCTTGGCATCACTTTAAAACAGGCAATGCCTTTTTTTTTTTTTTTGTATGTTCAAAGAATCAAAATAAGTACAAAATCAAGGTGATATGATCACCATAAATGCTTATTAAATGTGTAATCAATGACTGAATGAGGACAAGGAATGAAAAGTGAGGCCCTAGTTTCATTTAAGACCTTTCTTTTCCATGTTCTTTCTTACCAAGCAGTGAAAATTGCCTGCGAAACAAATTTAAAGATAAGGTGTGTCATATAACAATTCAATATATCTGCAACCTTCTTTCAATTTTAAAGTATACTTGGTACAGAATCCAAAATTTTCTTACATCCTTGAAAATATCTGATAAACATATACACATACATGCATAAAGTATTTAGACACCAAAGTGGATCTAGAAAAGGAAACAAGGGGGAGACTGTGATTTTTCCCCTGAAATAAATAAAATTTAAAGCTTCAATGTTAGAAAATATGCCAAGTTTAATGGCATTTCCTTTACATACATTCTCTGAAGTTTCACTCTGAGATAAACCAAGACATCAAAGGGGACTCATCCCTGGAGATGGGCAGAGGGGCTGAGAACCAAGGAGCATAAACCCAAATCAAGGTCAGAGCAATCCTACTTCCTCACTCTGCAAAGCACTCCTTACTCCAGGATTTTGTCACATTTTTCTCTCAAGGACTAAGAAAAATTGCCCCAAACCCCTCCTCTACACACAAGCATAATGACATTGGGCATGCAGAGATTTCATATAAATTAAGTTGTAAAGAAAATTAACATTTTTATATTAAATTATTTCCTGCATTTTAGTAACTTCCAGTATTTCTGTGCCTGCCACATTTTGCCAATTGGAGGAAAAAATGGCTAAAGAGTGTCTTGAAGCTTTCTAGTCAAGATAAACTGTTGGGATTTGGGCTGTTGGCAACGGGTACACCCTACAATGCAATGGAAACTAAGTGTGGTCTTAAACCGCTAACACCTCCACTACCACACTCACACCACATGGACTCCACCCACCCAAACATTTTTCCTCACTTTCCTAGGAAAGGGGACAGAAAGACATAAGGGAAGTAAAGTAAGGGCATTCTGGGGACCCAGATGAGTTGGTCCTAACAAAGCATGTTGCTTAATGTGATAACTTAATATAGAATATAGACTTAAGAGATTAATGACTGAAACCTTCTCATCTGCCAATATAAGATATTTAGATTATATTCAGAGGCCAAACTGGTTTAGGCAGCTTAAGCAAAGCATCTGCCTGAAGTCAGCAGCACCTTTTGATGGTGGGCACTTCCATACAATCAGCTTCTGCCACTCTTCTCCAAGATGATAAAGTATGTTCTGTTTCTGTATTGTGAGTTCCATGCTGAGAGATTTCAACATTTTTAAATCAAAGCATTTTCTGGATTTTAGTAACTTCAAGCATTTCTGTGCCTGGTAGTGAAACGGAATCATTGTTAAACATTCCATCTGGACTCAGAGCAATTAGAATATACCTGTATAATGGTAAGGAATACATGGGACACAAAATTTACTGAAAACAAGAACAGTACTAATTGCTCATGCTTGGGGGGAAATATTTAATACCTCTTCCAGACGCACAGCAGCAGTGACATACTTCTTCTCTGCTAATGCACAATTATATTCTTCAATAGCAGTGGAAAACTGAAAAGATAAGTTGTTCAGTATTTATTTTATACATCCTATTGTGTCAAGTCTGTTTTTTCTGTATTTAAAATATGAAAAAAAAAAAAAAATATATATATATATACAGTCAGCTGTTACCCACGGAATAATGGGATCAATTGAAAAAATAACTTCCTCATGACCAAAACACTAAAGTTTGAGTTGAATTGACTGACCTCTTGTAGCTGCTTAAGCAAACTTAGGACCACTGAATCTCTTTCCAACTGTTGCTTCAATTCTGTAAATTCAGCAGTTGATACATGAAGATCCCGGCGGACCTAATTCACACATCAAAGACAAGTACTTTTAAACTACACCATATCTACAAAATAAAACATTTTCAGCTAATCAATAAGCATTAGGTCAGTATAATTCACATTGAAATTTAAATGCTAGTTTAGAGGAATGAAAAGTATAGAATACAACAGGAAGAGACCTGAGAGGTCCACCCAGTACAAAACCTTACCCATCCTATGCAGGAATACTCACGATCATCAACATTCCGTCTTCAAGTCATCATACATTCTAAATTTAAGTAGCTAGTTTTCATCAGAGAGCTCATCCACCTGTATTACTAGAAGGGAATCCCAATTGCCAAGTAACTCACTGTATAGTTGGGTAACTCTTAGAAAGTTATTTTCTTATGTTGAATCAGAATCCATCTCCCATTCTGTCCCACATGGAATACCTACAGATCTCTGAAAGCAACATCTCTCAGTTACCTCCATGCCTCTGCAATGCTGTCCCCTAAACACTTTCTTTCCCTTTTCACCTAATTACCTATCGCTCCAGGTCTTGGTTTGGACATTATTTACTACAGGAAGCCAACCTTAGCTATATCTCCTCTTTCCAGCTGAATTATTCCTATTTAGTGCTGTATCACACCATTTTACTCATCCACATCAATAAAGAGATTCACACTTTGAAATAAAAGTCTACCAGTATTTAGCCATTATGTTGTTATTGTTGTTATATGCCATCGAGTCGGATCCGACTCATAGTGACCCCTCCTTGGGTTTCCGAGGCAGTATCACTACGGAAGTAGATTGCCCAGCCTTCCTTTCGAGGAGTGGCTGGTGGGTTTGAACCACTAGCCTTCTGGTTAACAGTCAAGTGCCTTAGGCACTATGCTACCAGAGCTCCTTTAGCCAAAAAATATATCAAATGACTGATTAAACTTTCATATAACATTCACCTATTGAATCTAATTGTTCTTTTGAGCCATAAATTAGAATCTTTCACCCATATGACAGGCCTTCAAATCTTGAAGATGTTTATTTTCAAGGCTAGGGACCCTCAGTTTCTTTCATCGTTCTTCAGATGTAGAGTGGTCAGGCCTGGACTTTTTCATCTGGATGAACTTTCTCTCAAAATACAACCAGCACTGAGTAAGTGTCACCAGTTATCACCTGGCCAGCATAAGGCACAGAGAGCTCACTGCTTTTCTTCTTCCAGATACTTCATTTCTAATATACAGTCTAAGATGGAATTACTGGCTCATTGATCAATCAACTGAATACAAATATACTTTGGGAATATTACTTGAACTGTGACAGGGCTGTATAATAACAGGTTGATTTTTATTAAAATCTCTTATCAGGATGATCAGTGAATGGGCTGTTAAATGAATTTTCTAGGTAACCAGGGGTTTCTCTACTTATGAATCAAGTTTTACAAAGAACTTTTGAAAAACACATTTGTGCACTTTCCTTCTTTAGTAACTCATGTAGAGAACAGATATGATGCTTTTCTTGGTGTTGAGGATCCTGTGAATACCTCAACATCATCATTTTGGATGTCAGTGAGTCCTGCATAATAATTTAGAAATAGATATAAAGGTCACCTAAGACTGGAATTTATTTAAACCTCTACTATCAACCTGCATTCTTTCAATAGCCTAGTTTTCCTACAAGAAAAATGCAAGAGTAAAATCCTAGTGAGATAATACATGTGAAAATGTTTTCAAAATTATAATGGATATTCCCACTTCCAGACTGGCTTCCTTCTTTTTGTGAAGATGGTATTCCTGCAAACATGGTACACAGTTCTAAAATCTGTCAGATTTTCCATAAAAAGTAAAACGAGCACTATTCCCACAAAATGACACACTACAGGAAGAGCAATGACTCTCTGTTTGCCCAGAGAAACTGGCTTTATGACAGGAAGTAGAGTGCTGTGGTGGGCCATTCACACCAGTTTTCCAGAAAACTGATACTAAGCTTCACCTGTTTATTTTATTATGAAGACAATATAATCCAGAAGTATTTTTTAAAAATTATATATAAAATGCTAATAAAATGAAAGACATTATTATTATTACAGCAAAAAGAAATTCTATCATACAGAAGTTTAAACTATAATTTTGGAAATATTTATTTTTAAATTAAAAGTCACTTTAAAATCATATAGTTCAACCTCCTACATTTACCAATAAGAAAAGTGAATCCTGAAAAGCTGAAAAGAACTTTGTTGTCTAAGGAGTCAAGAAGCTGAACTGCCTGCCTACAAACCTACGTAATATAACAAACTACTCTTACCTCGCTCTCTATCCTGGATTTCAGCTGATCAATGTCATCAGATAACTTATCCACCTGGGTAACCAGGTCCTGTGCACTTTGCATGCTAGGCAGAAATTCACTGTACTTCTTGCTGATCATACTGCATACCTCACCCTATAATATAATACAGAAAATTAGATGAGTAGAGAGTCCTGTGAAAAATACATAGTTTGTCCTCCCTGAGGCAACTTCCATATTGGACTTTCTTGTCAATTACCCATACTCCTTAACTTTTCCTTGCAGTCAACATGTTTCATTGAAAAACACATTTCTCCCACCCTTAAGTTAGGTTCAATAACATGAGGGTACAAGAAGACATAACTGTCACACCCCAACAGTAACCAAGAGTTATACAAACATTGAAAAAAACAAAGCTAAGGTCAGGAGGTCTCATATTTAACTAAATCAGCTCAGATTGTAGCCACCTATGTTAATCAGATATCTAATTAAAAAGAAAATAAATGGGCAAATTAAATTCATAGCCTATATACCTTAATCAATTTATTAATTTCTATCTTCTTACCTATAAAATTTTAAGACCTCATTTTTTTTTAACTTTTTATTGTGATTTGGGTGAAACTTTACAAAAGATTCCTTTTACATTCAACAGTTCACGCACATTTTGTTTTGTGACACTGATTACAATCCCCACAGTGTAATAGCTCACCTCCCACTTCCTCTCTGCAGTTACCCTTTCCCTGTGCCCTTCTTGCCTATGCATTCCTATGCTAACAATGCCCTTCTGATCTCCCAGGGTTGAGTGTTCTAAGGAGTACATCTCCCTGATGCAGTTATTCAGCTCCTAGGCCTATTATTTGGCTGAAAGTTAGCCATAATAGTGAGTTCAATTCCAGGCCCAAAGGGTCTCTCGGGTTTTACCAGTTTCTCTCCGACCAGGAAGCCCAGTCGTTTAAGTACTTTTTTAATTTTGTTCCACATTTTTCTCCCACTCTATCCAGGATGTCTAATTTTGGCCCTTTTTTGAGTGGTTGGCTATGGTAGCCAGGCACCATCTCATTCTTCCAGTCCCACAGTCATGTAAGCTGAGGTTCTCATGGTCCATTAGTCCTTTGGACTAATTGTTTCCATGTGTCTTTGATTTTCTTTGCTCTGGATGAGGAGAGACCAATAGTTGCATCTTTGATGATTACTCACAAGCTTTTAAGACCCCAGTTTCTACTCATCAAAGTAGGATGTAGAACAATGTTTTTGTTTATTATGCTGTGCCAATTGAGCTTGCTGAACCCCATGACCATGGTCCTAAGCCTGAAGGCCTAGCAACTCACTCCCTCAAGGTGCTTAGTTGTGGCTAAGAAATTATCCTAACTATGTTCCCTTAGCTCTATGCTACATATAGACAATTTTATAGCATATACAAATATACTTGTAGGAATATCATCTGCCCAAACCATGTATGGGTTTATTCCCATTTGCCTATTCTTAAAGCCTACATTGATTTGAGTTTCATCTCCTTTAATTCAAATTAATTTAATAAGCAAATTACTGAACACATACTATGCATTCAGGGCTTTGGAAGAAACAACAATAAAAGGATGCTTACCCACAGATAAATCCCTTTTAGGTAGAAAGATACTATGCACTAGTACCTAAGGCATTTGACTGCTAATCAGAAGGCTGATGGTTCAAACCCACCAGCCACTCCTTGGAAGGAAGATTGGGTAACCTACCTCTGTAGTGATACTGCCTCGGAAACCCAAGGAGGGGTCACTATAAGTCAGAAACAGCTGGCCGGCACATAACAACAAGAAGTAACTAGTATACAGGGCTGAAATGTGATCGTGCAACAGAGTTACAAAGTCCTTTAGAAGAACAACTGAGAAAGTGATCATCTCTACCTTGGGAAAAATGGGGATTTTTTTCATGCAGGCTACATTTGAGATGGAACTTGAAAAATGGGTAGAAATACAACAGGTAAAAATGGAGAAATGACAATCTAGACAAAGGGGAGCAATATAAATAAAATAGGGGAGTTTGAAAAAGAAGTGGGACTGTGTGGAGAAAGTAATTCTCAATTGGCTAAAGATTCATGCTGGTAAAAGAAGCTAGAGGGGGGAAAAAACCTGTTAAGTTAGCTTCAGAACATATAGGAGCCTTTAGCACCATCTTTTTGTCATATTAAAAACGTGGTGAAAATTTAACGTCCTAAAGCCACGTTAAAGATGCCAAAGACATGAATATTTAAAAATATTTACTTTTCAGTAACTTAAAGTTAAACCAAAAGGGTTTGTCAGAGCTGTTATCTTGTGCCTGTATGGTATGGTCCCAGACTTGCTCCCTACAATCCAGATTTCTGTAAACCAAGAAAAAACAAACTCACTGCCGTGAAGTCAGATCCGACTCATAGCGACCACTCCTTGGGTTTCCAGGCAGTATTACTGTGAAAGTAGATTGCCCAACCTTCCTGCCCAGGAGTGGCTGGTGGGTTTGAACCGCCAGCCTTCTGGTTAGCAGTCACTTGCCTTAAGCATTACGCCACCATAGCTCCCCAGATTTCTGTAGGTATGCGTAATATTAAACCAAAGCAACAAAGATGTGGGCATCTCTGAAAAGGTAACACTGTGAGTACAAAGTGAAGCTGTGTGTGACTATATGTGCTTTTTGTTTTTCTATCAGTTCAACGTAGCAGGGTTCATGGAAGTGCCATTCATATTTTTGGTAACACTCAGCATAGTCTAAAGGGCTTGAGTATGGAGAAGAGAGTTTAATAAATATATTTATAATAGGTTGTAATAACAAAAATATCCATGAGGAGTATGGCACTATTATATTCATCAATAAATAGTACAAACAGACCGAAGACGAGTGGATAGAGGAGGTAAAACACAGATTGTTAGACAGGTCCTGTCCGCACTTCTAACCTTCTCTTAATGCCCACTCCCTACAAACCTCTGCGCTTCGGGGCCCCACCTCCCCGGCTCTGCTCGTCCATCAGTATCCCTCCTCCCCTACTCCATTCCTTCCCAACCTAACCTCACTCCCCAACACTCCTCCAGTCACCACCTTTCCCACCCTACAGTCCCAGACCTCCTCGCCTCCGCTGTTCCCAACAGCAGTTTGGCCTCTCACTCCAAACTTCGTCCTCAATACACACACTGCTCAGCCCTCTCTTCATTCTCCCCACACACTCTCACACCTTAATCTCTCCGACAGGCCCGACTCAGGCAGTATCCACCACACTCTGTCCCTAAGCACCCACTCCTCTCTCCAGTCCACTAACACACACACCAGGAGTCCTTTTCTAGTCAGCCGGCAACTGCCCCGCCCTCACCTTGATGTCGTCCACCTGCCGGGTGAGGCGGCTAATCCTTGTGCCGAGATCCTCCTTCTCCAGCCTCCCCGAGTGTGCCAGAACTTCCGTGACGAAAGAAGCCATCTCCACGACAGGTACTAAGGCTAACAGGGAGCTCGCTGTCTTATCGCCAGCACGGCAGCTCCAGTCCCGCCAGCGGCTTTGGCGCGCAGCCTGCCGGGAAACGTAGTCTCGCGGGGCCCAGTCTCAGTGCACCGAAGCCGAGACCTGCACTACAACTCCCAGCAGGCCCCGCGCCAATCCTAGTGTGGGAGTTCCACGGTGTCCCGTAGTTGCAAACTGTGGCGAGATGCGTTTTCCACCTCAGTAATTTTCAAATGGGTTGAGGCTTCCCGCCCGTTTTTTACTGGAGGAAATGTAATGTTTGTATCTAATAACCAATCCTAACTGAACCTTCCTCAACTTCAAAACGCTTCCCTGTGAAATTATCTAGCTAGAAGACCCACCGAGTCCGTCTCCATTTTTTTTCTTAAGTAAGTATTCACGCATTGAGCCGCAGTGACTTTTACAGATTATATGAAGGGTGTCGTCGGAGTTGTGCGATGAACTGACGCCAACCCATTACAGATAAAAAGCTCTCTATAATTGCACTCTTTTTATATTATATAAGTTTATATACATAGTTGTTACGTGGCGTCAAGACGATTCCGAATCAGCGTCCCCATGTGACAAAGTAGAACAGCTTCATAGGATTTTGTAGGCTGTTATCTTTATGGTAGGAGCTCTGGTAGCTTAGTGCCTAAGGCACTTGACTGCTAACCAGAAGGCTGGTGATTCAAACCCCCAGCCACTCCTGGGAAGGAAGGTTGGGCAATCTACTTCCGCAGTGATACCACCTAGGAAACCCAAGGAGGGGTCACTATGAGTCCGGGACTCCACGGCACATAACAACAAAATCTTTATGGTAGCAGATCTCCAGGTCTTGCTGAGTGGGGTTAGCAGCTGAGTGCTTAACCGTTGTGCCACTATGGCTCCTTCCATATAGTGCCTACATCTATATATACAACTATATAATCCTGTATTTATTTATATTAATTTCTTTTTTTAAAGTTGCTGTCCAATTAATGCTGACTCAGGGTGACCCCATGTGTTTGAGAGTAGAACGCACTCCACAAAGTTTTCAATGATTATGACCTTTCAGAAGTAGATCTTCTTTCCGATCTTCGAGGCCCCTCTTGCTGTATTAAAAACACCAGTCTTTCGGTTAGTAGCTGAGATTGTCACCCAGGGACTCCTCATTTACATTATCTAGGTGGAGGCTCTTGGTGGTGTAGTACCTAAAGGATTTGACTGCTAACCAGAAGGCTGGCGGTTCAAACCCACCAGCCACTCCTGGGAAGGAAGGTTAGGCAATCTACTTTCATAGTGATAGTGCCTCAGAAACCCAAGGAGGGGTCCCTATGAGTCACATCTGACTTGACAGCAGCAGGTTTGGTTTGATTTGTTTTAGGTGACATTAACCCGTGTGGACTAGAACAAGATACTTAGCATTTTTGGTTTGCAAACCCACAGCTGACGAGTAGATTCCGACTCATAGCAACCCTATAGAACAGAGTAGAACTGTCCCCCCAGAGTTTCTGAGACTGTAAATCTTTAGAGAAGCAGACTGCCACATCTTTCTACAATGAATCAGCTTGTGGGTTCCAACTGCCCTTGCTTAACAGCTGAGCGTTTTAACCATTGTGCCACCAGGACTCCTTGTTTCAGATTACAAATCAATATTATCAAAATCTTTTTTTAAATTAAGTTTCACTATTTAAAAATTTACTGAGATGTTAACAGTATACTAAGTATAGCATGATTCCAGTTTTTAAAATAAATAGGTGCAGATAAGTATACCCACTGCTGTCGTGTGGGACTTGACTCATAGAGAACCCTCCTTGGGTTTCCGAGGCAATTATCTTTATGGAAGTAGATTGCCCTGTCTTCCTTCCCAGGAGTGGCTGGTGGGTTTGAACTGCCAGCCTTCTGGTTAGCAGTCAAATGCCTTAGGCACTACCCCACCAGTGCCCCTAGATATGTATGTAGAAGTAAAGAATGTTTACCCAGTTGTATCTCGGGGTAGTGGATTTTATGGTATTTATTTTCTTCTCTTTCACTATCTGTATTTTCCTCTTTTCTGCAATAAACGTGTGCTTTTATTAATAACTAAAAGATTATTTTTCAGTTTTTAAAAAAGGCACCTTGTGAGGGTAACCCAACTAGATGCTGGCCCTAGATGCCTGTGGTACTGTATGTTTATCCTAGAGAGTCAAGGATAGCTTCCGGTGCCTCAAGTGAAGGAAGTGAAATTGGACTTGAGACAGGAAGTCCTGTCCACCTCACTTTGAATTCTCAGTGCTATAAAAGTTCAGTGGTTCAAACTAACCAGCTGCTCCATGGGAGAAGGATGCGGCAGTCTTCTTCCATAAACATTGACAGCCTTGGAAACCCTATAGGGTCAATATGAGTCAGAATTGACTCAGTGGCAGTGGGTTTGGTTTTTGGTATGTGGCTGACACTGTGCCAGGCCTAGAGTCCAAAACATGTGAATACATAATCACAGGAAAATACAATTACTATCTTGGAGGTAGATGAGGGATGGATCCAGATTTTGTGTCTTCTAAAGTTTGTATATCAACAACAACAACAAAAGTTTATATAATTGCTGAGGACATTCTTGAAGAAAAATAAAATAACAAAAACAAAATCAGGTATAAGCCTTGGAAGGGACTTATGCAAATGGGGGGACTTGAAGCTTACCCTATTGCTGAGGAAAGTACAAAAGACAGAGAACAGACTGAAAGAGGAGCACCAAATCTCTGACTGAATCCAGAGAGGCTTCATTCAATAGTAAAGGGGAATCTGAGCTGAGAATCAAAAGAGGAGCCATTTTGAGGTTGAAGTTCTGGAATCTTCGCCTAAGGGACTGATACAAACACAACTGCATAAGCTACCACCCCTGAGGCAGAAAGACCACCAGATAAGTTGTAAACTGTTCCTAAGTTTCAAGGAAAAGACAGGGAAGAATCAGATTTAGAGTGAGGAAGAAGAAAGAGAGCACAGAATGGAGTGGGACGGCCATGCATGGACGTCCAATGCGTACAGGAATGAAGAATGAAGATAAATAAACAAATAATGAACACAAATGAATAAATGAGTGGGTACTGCTTCTCCCGCCCCAGGCCAACTGCTTTGAAATTCACGCTTCTCATGGCTTGTTTCTCCCAAATTGCCAGATTTTCACAAATCATCAGGAAAGAACTCTGAAGTGAATGTGAGGAAATAAGGAGTGATGTCTGAAAGGATTGCTTCTGGCCTATCATGACTCACATACACGTGGGCATACATGTACACAGGAAGTAAAGCATGAAACATACAAGTCTGTATGAGTATAATATAAGCAGACAGTTTTTCCAAGAATGTACAGTTTGCCATTGTGTTGATTAGTACATTTGGTTGTTATAAAAGTAGCAGGAGTGAAAGAGCATCCCATTTGCTTGAAAATAACATAAAGGTGGGATGGGGGAAGTGGAGGGTGGGGTACGGATGGCGCCAGATTGGTATGTATGAGTGGACAATTTTTGAAGCTAGATGATGGGACTTGACATCCTTTAAATCCATTGCTCTCCATTTATAAATGTTTGAAATGTTCTGTAATAAAAAGTATATGACATAAAAGTACAATAGAAAGAAGAGCGTTCCAGATGATTCTGCTTGCCTCCCTCCACCCGCACACCATGTGATATTCACTGATATACCAGGCTGCTTAGATGTTGAGACATTAGCCAGAGAAAATCAAGATACTTTTTTCTCTTCTCAGATGCTCCTCCTTGCTGGCTGGCCAACACCTTTGCTTTTACTTTGTGGTATATACCTCTGGGTATGCAGTAGGTTAAAATATGAAAGGTGAGCATATTGGTCAAAGGCTTATGTCTTCAATATAATAAATCCAGGTTTTCTTCTTTTGCCATAAAGTCTAACCTTCATACTCATGCTGTATCACCAGGGGGCAGGAGCAAGATAGGAATAATCGCTGCTGCAACCTGAGGGACAAGCACATGAAACTTAAGTGTCCAAACCACCTGACTCAAGTATTGGATCAGTTGCTGATCAGGTTGGGGACCTTGGCAAGCTACTAATATGTACTTCATGGTGGTGGTGTGAAATTAAATAAGGATAAAGTAACTAGCCAAAAGTCTGGCATTTAGCAGCACTCAGTAAATGCAAAAGATTTCCTTTCCTGTAAGAACCTGCTTTTGGCAGCAGCAATAAACAGGATTGGAAGCTAGTATGATGACTATTTATAGCTGCTGTCCTAGCAGCAGCAGGAGCCTGAGGGAGCATTTCCCTCTTCATATGTTCTGGGCCTGAGTCAAGTTCCTTGACTTGAGGGACATTTTAATTCTTCAAAAATAATATACTAAATGATAATTGTAGAAAATTTATGAAATATACAGTTAAGCACATACAAGGAAATAAAAAACATCCATAATCCTACCACCAGATATAATCATGCCAAAATGTATGTGTGTACATATGGAGAGAGAGAGAGAGAGAGAAAGAGTGTGTGTCAGTGCCTGAGTGGGGGAAATGGCTAACTCAACTGCTAACTAAAAGGTTAGAAGTTTGAATTCACTCAGAAGCACCTTGAAAGCAAGGCCTGGTGATCTACTTTAAAAAACTCAGCCACATCATCAAACTCACCAAAACCAAAGACAAAGAAAGAATCATGAGAGCAACACGGGAAAAACGAAAAGTTACCTACAAGGGGAAACCAGTAAGACTAAGCTCAGATTTCTCGACAGAAACCATGCAGGCGAGACAGTGGGATGGTATATATAAAACACTGAAAGAGAAAAATTTCCAACCAAGAATTATGTACCCAGCAAAATTGTCCCTCAAATATGATGGTAAAATTAGGACATTTCCAGATAAGCAGAAATTAAAGGTATTTGTTAAAACCAGACCAACCTTACAAGAGATGCTAAAGGGA